GAGTTCTCTTGCTAATACACATCCGGCGGTTCCAGCTCCAACGATTATAAAATCATAAACTTCATTGGCCTTGTTGAACGTTTGACGTTGATCGTAGCAATGAATGCTCTCTGACCAAAGTTTACGAATTTCAGCATCGGTCTTTAATTCTTTCTCTAATATTGGATTAATAGTCTCTGTAATTTTGTCGTAGGAATTCATGCAAATTTTTATAAATTGATCAAGAAAAAAAATTTTTTTTTTTTTTTTTTTTTTTTTTCTTTGAGAATACTATATTAAAAAAATCTGATTTGATTCTGATTAATTGGGATTTATATCTCACCAAATCATTTTTTTGTTTTTATTGTAACAATCAATCAAATGACGAAATTTTTTCTCACCCTCATTTATAAATGGAAACTAAAATATAAATTTGGTGTTGTATGTTAATCTTGGACAAATTTAGAAATTCAAATCCAGTTCTAAGAATATAAATAAATTAGTTACTTTTCTTAGAATTTCATGTGCTAGTACCTAACCAATCCAACTATATATGGATTTGAAATGGCTAAATTTAATAAAAGTAAAATTCAAAAATATAAAGTGATATTAATATAAAATTTACCCAATGCGAACGATTTGTTTCTTCCGACTTTTACTAAATAAGTAAGCTTTGTTGGCGGAAATGATGATTATCCATTATTTTTTCACATGATTCACAAATGATATTTATTTTATACTTATTTTTGCCTTCATATTATCCATCATCCGGCGGGTTTTTTTGAATTAGGACTCGTGTCATAAAATGATAGTCCCGACTCGAGAAAACATTCGAGTCGGGTCAAACAACCCGGGTCGAATCGAGCACTAATCATAACGATATATAGTTCAGGACTTGTTGCATATGGATGAAGATTAAAATGGCTTTAACCCTAATTAAACATTTTCCAACATCCTGTATGTTGTAGCTTTCAACGTTAAAAATGGAACCGATGTTGGCTCGATCCAAGGTCAATTCCAAAATGTTAGCATTACAATGTGATATCACCACTAGAAATGCGAATTGTATCAAATTAGCCAAATTTATTATTGAACAATGACGAAATGAGTATTAAAAAAATGAAAGAGAAATAAGGAGATAGGAAAGTCAAACACGCTTGCATTATTCTACATAAATAACGGTGATCAAATTTCTGAACAACTTTATGAGTGGATGAAAACAGATCACAACTGAAACATTGAATTGACAAAGTACGAAAATCATAGTCTGTTTTGCTAGGGAGATAACTAACTTATCCGTATGAAGAGTACCAAACATGAAATATTATGTATGAAGGACCCAAAGCAGTGTTAAATCCATTGATCATGTCAAGTATGCATCATTTTCTTCCAATAATGTTGATTTAATATAGATATATATATATATTATCTCTGTTTTTAAACTAGATATTTTTCAAATCATCCAAATTTCGTAAATATTTTGAAACTAAGAACTAGGAGTGGTTGAAAACAAACGTTAACGTCGATCCAACAAAAAATAGTTATATCCAATTTCTGGAACACTAAAGAGTTACAAAGAAATTCTTTCTTCATGAAATTTCCAAAATTGATAATAACTCAACCAGCAATGACGGAAATTAAACAAAGCAGCTGATGATAATGATATTCAAGCAGCTCTCGTATTAATGCGTAATATTGCGAAGACAATGTCATCTTCCACCACAAAGACGCAAAAGACGGATGTTATCGCAGCAGAAAAATCATTACCAAAGAATATTATACGTTAATTTTCTCAACGAGATGAGGAACTTCGATAGGTGGTGTTCCTCATAAATATTCTCGTAATTGTTGTGGTGGTCTGCATAATCATTCTTTCAAATATAAAATGTATATTTAAAGATTATAATTATAATTTATTTTAATTTTTGACATAAATTAAACTGTAAACTTTTTTTATCACAGTTAAATCCAAGATACCGACGACGAACCACCACATTTCGACATGCCCATTTGCGTATGGATATGTTTGTTTGCCGTAACTTCACTGGTTATCAGTGATTAAGCCGTGAAGTTACGGTATAATTATGCGGTACAAATAATTATACTTTTGTTGTTGTAAATTACTACCACGACATAAATATAATAATCATATACGGTAGTAATTATTTTGAAACTTCATATTTGCTAGGGATAGTAAAGGATAATTATTTTTTTTGGCAAAAAGTAAGTTTTATTATTGCGTGCATGATTTATAAAGCTTAATAAGACCGTTTTAACATGATCCATTGCTTTTACTTTTTACCTTTTATTCTAGATGTTACAACCTATAGATAAAGTGGAAGAACATAAAAGAACGGGATTATGAAAATCTAAGGGACCAGGAGCGACCTTATGTATTCATGCATTAATTGCAATTTTAATAATATTATTTTAATATTTGCATAAAAAATTTGTTTTAAAATTTTGCATTTTAAGTTTTATTAATTCTTAATAATAATCATAATAAATAAAATTCTACATTACAAAAAAAAAAAGGAATAAATTATGTGAATTGTACGTTTTAAATTGATAAATTGATGTCGTAGGTTTGAATATCTTCGTAACGATATTTATAACTTTTATACTTATACAACAAATATTATATTTCATAAATTCGCCAGCCACATAAATACTTAGTTCAAATTGTACGATACTAGACATTCAAAACTTTTGGAGCCCTAAAGGGCCAAAATCATTTAGTTATTGCGCCCAAGTATCAACTCGGAATTTAACACACTAAACAATTGCTGCGGCCTATAGCGATCTAACCTGCCTAAAAAAAATAGAAATAAAAAAATAAAAACTTTAAAAAAAATAAAATTAATTTAATGAAATGAGAAGGAAATTGTCTAAAAAAAAAAATGAAAATGAAAAAAAAAGTCTGGATCCAACCCAGCATGAAAGCAAAAATAATTTATGATTACAAAGTCTAATAAGGTAAATTAAAAAGTTAAGTCATGTGTTTTAAATTTACTCGAATAAATTAATTATGGTCAGCATTTCTAATACTAAATATCGATTAATTCAAACATTTAAAATTTTGTCAATTACAGTTCACGAAAAATAAAAAATATTGCACGAATAAAAGTCAAAAAATATGAAAATTTAAAATCTGCACGCAAATATGATACTTATATGGGACCTTTGCAATAGAAAAGGGGGAAACGGCTGGAAAAAATAAAAATTGAATTAATGCTAAATCTGAACATATTTTGACCTAAAAATCATATTTGGCATATAAAGTAAAATTGATTTTTTTTCGGCTGTTTCCCCCCTTTCTATTGCAAAGGTCCCATATAGTTCAATTATTTTACAATTACGATAAATTTTAATCGTAGTAATTTAATTGACAAATCACGTGATCAAACTAATTCGAAAACGGTTATAAAAACAAAAACTTCCATTTTTTATTTTTCTATAAGAATTTTTTTTTAAACGTATATATATGTTTTCGTGAATATAATTAAATTTACATGTACCAACTGATAAATTTTACATTTTTTAAGATAAACAACCAAAATAACGAAAACGACTTATATATTGAAATAGAAAGATTAACGCGCAAAATCAGAGCAGACGTAGAAAAAACGAATAAATTAAAATAAAAATACCATAATGTTAAGATATTACTTTATATTTTATATTATGGAGGTATGTTTAGAATTTATTTTGCTAAAATTGTCCAATTATTTTAAGGCATTAGTCACATATGACCGTGTGCAAATAGAAATTGTCTAATTATATCCTTTTAAAGTTTTTATTACATTAAAAAAAATCTTTAATAATTAGGAATCCTTTTTTTTCTTTTTTTCTTTTAATTTGTATTTTGTTTTCTATTAAATTACCTCTTTATCGCGCTTTTACTGTCACCTTATACTTCATTCAATAATTTTTGCAATAAAAATTTCGTTTAATTTTCTGAGGAAGTAAGATACGAAGATCAATTTACAAAATTTAAAAAAAAGCAAATCGAATTCTAATTCTTTAAGGATCAATTAATTATTTATTATTGTAAGGAAGGAAATGGCATAGGTCCGAAATGAGATTACCATAGAAGTACAGCAGTAATATTTTTGGAACCAGACATGCAAAAATGAAATGAATTTATTCAAGCTAATTCGCGTAAGTAAAGTTTTATGATTTCCAGGATTTTTTGCCATAGGATTTCTTTTTCACCTTTTTTTTATTTTATACTAAATTTGCTTTAATTGTCAGTTTATGGACCAAACTTTTGGATCCAATACTAGTGACAGCTCTGGGGAGGTTTAAATTGGCTGATCATTACTATTGGGTTACATACAGTACGACTTCCCGAATATACAGAACATTTCAGAAGTCTATTTCCTGAACTCAAGTTTCCCGAACTGGGTAAAATTCAAAGACTTTATTAATATTTTTTATTTAGATCAAAGAAATAAATGAGCATTTGAAAATTACACAAGAAAAGCCTCAATAGGGACGATTATTACGTTAAGTTCATAAGTAGCTGAAGAATAGGCAGTGATGAAGATAATGTTCTGTATATTATGAAACATTTGGTTAAATTTATCTTTATAATATTTTGTAATTTATATAATAGGTGATGAAGCTGAAGTAGAAAAGAAAGGACTTATGCATATTATTTAGTAGAACAAGTCGATGTTCTGTAAAAATTGTCCAAAGAATGTTATATTGGATTGGTAAGAGATATTAATTCATATAATTGGAAAGATCTCTGCAAATTAGTAAGACTCCGAGGATTGTGGATAGCTATTGTATATTTTGTAAAATTAAAATCATGTAGTGAGAAAGCTTACTTTAAAATTATAGCGTATGTCGGATTCCAATGCTTTATTAGTTACAATCGCAGCTATTGTTGGCCTTCGGTTTACCTGAAGCTTTTGCAAAATATTAAAAAACGGCAATTAATCATGTTCAATTTATTATTGAATTCTTTATTAAGCTATTATTATTTTTCTATAGTCCGTATACCCATGATAGTAAACTTCAACAAAAGTGTTTTGATGCTTGGTTTTGACATTTGATGACGTACTTTAAGTGTAAATTTTATCGGGTCATTCTGACTTCACAATTTTTAATATAATTAATAATTTTATTATTTGAGTTACAATATTTGAGGACATATTGGCAGCCGGAACACAAGAACCCACAATCAAGAGTCCATGAAATGGCTTGCAAGATAA